GAGATCAAACTAACACTGGGGGAGAGTTTCATTCCAGGTAGCAAGAACAGGGTGAGCAGAGAAATAAAATTTTAAAAAATGGCATTTGAAAGCTAAAGCAAGTAATGTAGCTAAAGAGGAAGCTGCTGACATTCATGAGCTCAAATGGCAAAGGCCTTGCCCATCCCCCTTAGAATATTATGCTGAACTTGCTTTTTGCTTTTCTCTTGGACAGGATGCCCTACTTTCTGCACTTCCATCTGGGTCAGGCACCTAAACTAATTCACCCAACACTCTCTTTATCCTCTGATACAACTGTACAACTCTGTATCTTATCCTCTGTACAACTGTAGGTGGAGGAATTGTTCTTGGTCTTGGGAGTCTTTAGAACTCAACCGAACAATGAATGAATGGGTGATTCTACTTAGCGTGAGCTCAGTAACTTCTGATCCCTTGAGTGAATCACTATTTAAGAGAGACTAAGAAAGTGCTAAACTCTATTTTCTGTGTTTCTGGAAACACTTTGCACGATTCCCTGCAGGAAGTAGTTTTAGGTGGGATCTGAAAGAGGAGGTACACTCAAGACAAACTTAACCCTGTCTTTGTAGAAAGAGATGGGTGAAGAACAGATAGGCACAGAGGTGACTATCTGGACCATCACCTTGGGCTGATAGAACATATGGGGTCTTTTATAAGTAGCTAATTGTCAAGTTTTATTTTTGGCATGATACTAAGTTCACATAACGCCAAATACCTCAAAGATAACAACAGTTTACAAATTAGATTCCCTCAAATTACCAAGGCAGACAAAGAAGAAATGACACAGAAAAGACACACGATATCAATAAAAATTGATGAAAAAATACATGAGTGGAGAAAAGAAGGAATACTGCTCTCTGTTACACACACACACACACACACACACCCCCCAATACATACTTGAAAGAATATAGTGAAAAATAAATGCAAGTTAACCTAGAGAGAAAATAATCTTGCTACATAAAAATTGTTTAGAATCATTTCTCTATTAAATATTCATTAATAGCAATTGCAATCAATGGATTTATTGCTTTGCATACACAATCATCTGATCACTTATATAAATTAATTGTAATTGTGAATTTCACAATCCTCACCTTCTTAAGATGCAACGGGCACCCATGGTATCAGCGTGTACGTGTTCACAGTGAATTTCTCTATTTGTTTTCAATTCTAGCGAAAGACTGGCAGAAAGGAGGGGGAAGTCAGGTCTGTAAGAGGACTTGGAAGAGTGTAAACTATCCTACCCTTTCCTTGACCTTGGAGATAAAATCTGGACTTTCAGCAAACCTAGGGTTACTTCCCCCTCCCTTCTTGTGCCCCCACATCCACTCCAGAAGGGCAATTCAGTTTACATACTTTGTGAGATTTAACATTGGGCTGGTGAGATTCAAAATGTTTATGCTCTAAGCGAGAGAACCTTTCTCATTGTTTGCCAATCTGTGTCAGATTTAATCTAGATCTGTAAACATCAGTACATTTTCAATTCTGGTGCAATTTCCTTAAATTTACCCTACAGAGGAGGCTTCGCTTGCTGTTATTGTTTTCTTTCCCATTTTTTCTTTTTGGTAATCTAAGAGTAAAAAATCCCTGAACCAATTGGTCAATCGATTAACAAATTAACTGCTAAATAATGGATTGGGCCTTGTCAACATGGTGACAGGGTGCCCAGAATAAAATATGTCTCTACAATACTTCTTTGAACACATGCCTAACAAAGCAACTCTTGCTTTTCCTAACTAGTTTACACAAATGCCTAGAAACCAAATAGAAAAACATAGGACGATAATATTTTATCATTCATACAAGCTGAACAGAAATGGGCATTACATTGAGAAATGAATAAAACTCGTTTTTGTTCGAATTAAATTTTAATGTAGCAGAACTTTACATGATCCTTGAAACATAAATAAATGCAGAAAGACAACGAAATATTTTCCACTGCTAATTATACCATTTATACCGAACATGATGTAAAAGTACACAGGAAATAATGTTACTCAGTAGACAAAAAAAATGGAGTGAAAGGGATTGGAGGAGGGAGGGGAGGATGACAAAACCATATAATGAAGTTTGTGTTATGTAAGAATTACCCTCGACAATGTTTCAAGTCTTAGTTATTTACTTAAAGGCTTTAGTCTGGAATAATGGTGATATGAATAATCATCAGAAGCCAAGGCTGTAGCTTAGAAACCTAGTCAGAAAAGATGTTATATGGAAAAAAAGAAGAAACTGTATGGTAAAAGGAGGACATTTAGGACTGCTCTTTACTGATAATATTCACATAACTTCTGCAAAGCACATCACAGAGGAGAACAGGGCTCTCTCCCCAACCCACGTTCTCCATTCATTTGGGGTTGTTCAGACTGATGGTTTGGAGGGATGCTTGTGGATTTAGGTTGGAAGCAATTTTCAAATTTCCAGGGTGGAGGATTTCTTCAGACTCTGGGTTTTCAAGCAGTGTTCATACAATATAAAAATCAGTTGACTGTTGGAGAATTGGGTTGCTAAGCTGTTGATTGGCTTGAATAACCAGAAATAACCTTAAAAAATATTCCATTCTTTATTAAGCTCCATCCATTTTTATTCAATAAGAATTAATGACTACTATGTGCATAGCTTGGTGCTATGCATGTGTCCGCAGGTGGTGGGGGAGTTCAGGAGTGGCCCTGGAGAATAAGACTTACATTGCCCACTGAATCACATGGAACATATTGGGAGATAAGATACATGAATAAAAATGGTGACAACAAAATACCAGCCAGAATATTATGGGCATTTTATTTTGATATTAATTTGATCTTGGTATTGGTAAAGTGAACAAGTTTTGGAATGAACAGATTTAGAATTAAATATTAGCTCTCAATAATTGTGCTTACAATAAGAATAACTAGATTACCTGGGTAACATTTTTTTTAGTGCACTTGACGGTAGTAGGGTGCTAATAAGGAGTTGCAGAATTACCCGGCAGAATCCAGGGAAGAGCCTGGCATTTAGAGTCCTTCTTCCATTAAGGTCATTTGCCAGGTCTGGAAGGAATAACTAAAAGGTTGAAAGGTGGAGCTAAACTTCTGACAGCCTCTGAGGACAACAAAAAGCAGTGTGTGTGTGTGTGTGTGTGTGTGCACAGAGACAAAACTAACATAATAATCAATACACACCTTGAGAATCTGATCAAGAAAAAAGGGCATTAATAATCAATATCAGGAATAAAATAGAGAACATCAATACAGATTCCAAAAACTTTAAAATGAGCGTATGTAGATACAACAAATACATCTATACAACACATTTAAAAATTTTGATGAAATGGAAAAAATCGTAGAAAGACACAACTCACCCAAATGGACACAAGAAGTACTTTAAAATTCAAAACCCAGATGGCTTCATTACTTAATTCTATCAAACACCTAGCGAAGAAATAATATATGACTTCCTAACAAGATTCAAAAAGCACAACCTTAAAGGAGAATATTGATAAATTTTATCAAAAGGCATTATTAAGAGATCGAAAAAGGCAAGTCACTGCATGGAAGAGAACTCAATTGAAGATCTTGATTTTAGACTATGTTAAAACATGCAGACTATATCCTACAAATCAATAAGAACAATACTAACAATCTAAAAGAAAGGTTAGGGAGGGGTTTTAAATCAGTATTTCAGAAAAGAGAATATAGAAGTAGAAGAAAAGTGTGAAACCTCATTAATGTCAGAGAAATGACAGTTAAAATCAAAATGAGATACTACTATGCTCTTACTAAGTATCTAAAATGAAAAATAATGACAATATAAACTATTAGCAAAGATCTGTCACATATGGAACTCTCCGACAGTGCTAGTGGGATTGTAAATTAGTACAAAGCCTTTCTCAGACTGTTTGGCATCATCTAGTAAAATTGAAAATAAACATTGCCTGCAACTTGGCGATTCCACTGCTAGGTACAAACCCAGCAGAAATCAGTGCATATTTGCACCAAAATACATGTAAAAAAGTTTGGAGCAGCATTTTTACAATAGTTGAAAACAATCCAAAAATCCTTTAATGGTAGAATGGACAAACAGTTTATCATAAAGTCACACAGTGGAATAGTAGGCAGCACAGAAAATAAATGAATGACGGCTATGTCTAGCAACATGGATGAAACTCACAAATATAATGTTGAGACAAAGACGCCAGATGCAAAATAGTTCATGCTGTAAGATATGATCCATGTAAGGTTAAAACGTAAACAAGACCTTATCTATGTTTGCTGATCTACCCTTTATGTGATAAAATGATAAATAGAAATAAAGTAACTGGGGAACATCAGGCTAACGATAACCTTCGAAGAAATAAGTGCAGTGTGTGGGAGGCATATGGGGGCTTTTGGGGTATGAGTTCAGCTCTAGCTCCTGACTTGATCTGTGTGGTGGTTATGCAGATGTTTACATTGTGATAAATCTATCATATTGTGATAAAACTATTCATCTTTTTTAATGATTTTCTGTGTGTGTATTATAATTCACACCTACAGACACACAAGCGATTTTAATAAAATATGTTTTAAAAGTTCTGTATGGTGGAAGGCCCTGTGAGTCTTGGATTCCTCCTATATAATTCGGTGATAATAAAGTCTACTATCCAAGATTTCCAGGATATGTGAATGAGATAAATTACCTGACACATAACAAACACTCAAATGTTATAAAAGTAATTCTTCATATAGCTGAATTCTTCATATTTACGAAAGGGGGAGAAGAGGTGAGTTATGTTACACACTAAAAGATTGATAAGATCTAGACTTCCTTTGTTCAATTTTAAAACCTTGTTAATTCAGTTAAGCACATGCTTGGATGAACGTCTATCAGGCGTGTGTGCGTGAGGGATCCTGTGTTGGGTAGAAATGCATCCAAAGGAGCGTCAAGACATTTCACAAGGAAAATGATGCTCACATAGAATACGAAAAGTTATCTGTATGTCACTTCTAACACAACATCCTGAAAGGAGAAAGGTTTGGTTCGAGATCTTGATTCTTTATTTAGCAATTGAGTCTGGGGAAAAAAGGCAAAAATTTGGGATTATTCAATTATCTTTGTCTTCTCTCTTTATCTCATATCCCACATCTATCAGAAAATCCTTTGGCATTACATTTAAAACATATCCAGGATCCACCCATTCTCCCTATCTTTAACCTTCCCCAATACAATATTTTATTTTAATGCTTTCTCTAATTGCTCTCTGCACATTTTTCTTTGGGCCTCTACAATCTATTCTTCACACAACAGAAAAAAGTGACCCTTCAAAAACAAAACTTAGAACTGGTCCATTCTCCTCTCAAACTGTCTAAAAAGACAATGCCAAGGTCCTTACAGTAGTCTACAGGGGCCTAGAATCCCTCTTTACAGCCTTTTATCCCCACCTTTCTATACCGCAGGCTGAGCTTTCTTGCTCTTCCTCAGACAAGCCTAACCCACTCTTCCCTCAGGGCCTTCTCACACTGCTTTGCTTCTCTGGGATTTTCTTCCCCAGATACCTGCTTCACTCATTCCCTCATTTTCTTTGGTGTCTGCTCAGACTTCTCCTCATCAGAGATGGCTACCCTGTCCAGCTTATCTACAGTGCTCATGTCATCTTTGTCTCACTCCATCCTCGTTTACCCAACACATTCTAATCAGCAGACACTTGGTGAATTTATTCTCTCAACTATTTATTGTCTGCCTCTAAGACAGCAGGACTTTTTTCTCTTTTATCCTCTGCATTATTTTGCCAGTGCTCAACACGGTACCTGGGATGTGATGTGTGTCCCCCAAAACATGTTGACTGGATGAACGTGGAGTAGACTTCAAGCTCTGCACAGGAAGCTACTAACAATTCATTTGAAAACCCATTTTACCCTCAATTCAAACTCTCCTACATTCTTACATCAGCTGGAAAATTACAAAATTATTTTATTTCAGCTCATGTCACCCTATTTCTACCCTTTACACACGCACACAGACACACACACACTACCCTCCCCCCCCCCCCGAAACCTGTCTTTAGCTAACTATGGTGCAGATTTCTACTCAAAAGCAATAAATACCTGGGTAAGGTCTCAAAATGTTAATAGCAGTTCAAGCAGATATTGCTGTCTCAAGAAGTGACCACTTAATGAATCACCACTACCAAAGAGGTCAATGAGGCCAGTCCCAGATGTGTCATGTTATTTCAACTCACCTGCAAATGACCACATTAATATTAACTGGCAGATTGCACACCTTTATATTTATGTAAAACTGATTTGGGGAAACTACACAACTGGGAGGTGTTAAGAGAGTTTCCACAGCCTGTCATCCTGCAAATCAGCCCATTTTGGGGTCATTACTTACATGATATTACAGAATCTGATTTTCAACTTTGCTTTGCCTGATAAAAATATTTCTTTAAATAAAGAAATACTGATGTTTTGCCTCGTGAAATTTAGGTGATAAGCAACTCCCAGGCTTACTTCAAAATCATTTCAGTAAATGGAGGCTAAGTATCTAGGAGACAATAGTTCCAGTCACACCAACCTATATGTTTTTTAAACTTTGCCTTATCTGGAATTAGAAGATATTGTATTTCTTTACTGGAATGATTACTCTGGAGAAATCTTAGCATCTCTGTTCAATAAACATTATGAAATACTGTGTTGAAAATTTCATAACTTAGAATATGGAGCATCCTCTGACCCCAAATTCTGATGCTCATCCGTGAAGCTCCCCTCACTTGTGCCAAAAACTTCTTGCTCCTTTCCTTTTCACACAGATGTGTTTCCCAATTCATTGTTGCACCAGGCCCAGAGAAGTTTCTTTTGAGATAAATCTGCTCATCTTTTTTTTCTCACTTTCTTGCTTTCCTATCTCCCTTTCCACACCCCGCCTCTCCTTTTTAATGCATCTTCTCTTCCCGTCATTCATTTCCCTTACAATTTCTCTTCTTCCTTTTCTCCCCCATGTTTTCCACCGAGGAAAGAAATTTACAGTAAAATGTATATTTGAAATAATAATGGACTCATAAAAAGTCAGCCTCAAGGGAAGGGGAAAGACAAAACATGAAACCAAATTTATCTATATAGTTGCCATGACTAAGTTTCAAATTTGACTGAGATTTCTTGGAACTGAGGCAAACATGAAGAAACAAGTTAAAAATCACTCATGGTATTAACACCAGTGAAACACATTTAAAAAATATCAGTATAGGTATTTCAAGTATGTAATGTTTAACTATATCTAGTAGATAGGGTAATAGTTGAAGCGATACGTAATGTTTTGTAACCTAGCTTTGAATTCTGAGAAGAGTTTTCACTGTGGCTAGATGGAGCAAAGTGATGGCTAACGTCAATGACAAATTTTTGGAGAATTGGACATGTTAGTCGTCTTTTCCTTTAGGGCCTTGATTCTCAACTGGGAGCTCATAAGAAGTGCATGGCAAGACCTTTGTAAATAGATGGTAGGGCTCCATTCTAGACCTTGCTGAAATCACAACCTTCATGGAAGGGTCTTGCTTAAGCAAGCTCAAACATCTTTCTGGGCATATTTGAAGATTCAATTTCCAAAAGAATACTTATAAAAAGAAATATTTTCTCCAGCTGCCTTACAGTTTGAACATATAAAAGAACCATTGCATCATGTTAAGATATGGTAATGTTCTATTTGCTTATCAAAGACCTTGGTCTCCAACATTTTTTTTTATGGGCACTCCTATCAATAAGACAGTCTGGTGTGCACAACCCCATCGTATGTACCTTGAAGCCTTAGTGGCAGCTCTCTTAATGTGTCGACAACAATAAGCATGGAGAGTAAGGCATACATAATCCTTGACCTGGTCTCTGTCATGAACTGAGTTTGCTCTAAGAGACAGCCTAGCCTCACCCAAACCCCTCATTTCACAGTTGAGAAAACCTGAGTCCTAGATATGCCATGACTTGCCCAAAGTCGAAAGATTGAATAACAGCAGGTAGAATATTGTGATTTATAAGAAATATATATATATTCGATCATTCAGATGACAAAAACTCATTTCTTAGGTATATTGAGTCTTCATCCACAGTGCCTGGCTCACAGTTCCCAAAACCAGGAACGTAAAGGTGAAATGGATGTCTGGTTTATGTTAATGAAGGTGAGTTTTGGACGCCACCCGAACATGGGGGCTGGTTGCTAGGAGATCGGAGTATCAGAGGACTGGAGTTTTCAGTCCCACCCCCTGATTTCTGGGGAGGGCAGTGGGGACTTGAGGTTGAATCAGTTGCCAATGGCCCATGATTTCGTCAATCAGGACTGCATAATGAAGTCTCCACAAAAATTTAAAAGAACTCCTCATGGCCCTTTCTTTCAGACAGATTCCACATTGAGGAACCAGAATCCTTACACGTACCACCACGCCAGGCCCCAAACTCCAGGAGGACAGAAACCCCTTTGTTCAGGACCTTGACCTATGTATCTCTTCATCTGGCTGTTGATTTGTATCCTTAAATATCCCTTGTAAAAACTGGCAATCTAGAGAGTAAATGGGTTTTGTTGAGTTCTGTGAGCTATTCTAGCAAATTAATTCAACCTGAGCAGGGGTTCTGGGAACCTCTGTTTCAATGGCCAGAGGCTTAGGTCACAACCTGGTACTTAAGACTGTTGTATGAAGGCTGGGGGTGGTATGCATGGGATGGAGCCCTTTGCCTGTGAAATCTGATTCTCTCTTGGGGTAAATAGTGTCAGAATTGAATTGAATTCTTGGACACCCTGCTGATGTCTGAGAACTATTTGTTGGTGTGGGGAAGCCACCACACACACACACACGCACACACACACACACACTTTGGAATCGGGTCTAGGAACCTCTTCACAGCAGGGCCAGAACAAAAACTCTAGGAAATCAGATTCTCATCACCATGTCCTTGTCGCTGCTCCACACAGTCCCCATGAGCACTGGAGCACCCTTCCTATACCCAATTCCCTTCTCTTATGTTTCAACAGGAGCCCTGCTGTCTCTGGAGGTGCGCTGTTAGCTGCCTTCTCTAACCAACTCCCTTTATGTCTTTTATTCTCCTGCTCTTTGAACACCCTGAGGGAAAATATGTATTTGTTCTCCTCATTTTGCGTTTGTTTCTCTTCTTCCTTCAACTCTGCCAGTGTGATTCCTGCTGCTATCTGCGAGGAGCTTTCTTCTTACCAACATTTAAAATATCTTTGTATAACTCACAGAGCCATGCAAAATTTCTCTATTTGAAAGTCAAAACCCAACCAGGTTGACCTCATTTCAAAATAAAACCAAATCTCAAGCCATTGAGTTTTTATTCAAACCATTCTTTTACATATTTTTATTTATTTATATGAAAATGTTTTCCTGTGGACTTTTTGTAGCTGCATGAAAGATGTTAGAGTGTTAATGAGAAAGGGGCGTGAAATGCCTTATATTTGCAGACCACTTCACAGCTTCACAATCCTTCTGCAAGAGTCATTCCTCCTAATAAGAGTCTGGTGAGGGTACCAGGCATATCCTATGGCCCCTCCCTCCTCATTTGGCAATTGAGTCTTTCAGGAGGGATAAAATGAGTTTCCCAAGGTCTCTAGCTTGTTAAATGGATGCATACACTAATGCATACACAAATTCACACACCCACAGTAAATACTATTTACTGTGAAATCTAGACACCCAGTACAACATTATGAAGCTTGGGCTATCTCTTACTGGGCCAGCTTTCTATGGCTCTCAGTCCACCTGAGAAATTCACCAAGTAGTATATTGATGTGAAGTCCTAGTAGGAGAAAAGTCAATGGCAGAATAACACAGTAAAGAGTACTAGACTTCTTTTAAGCTCCCTGTTCTAACAGAATTCCAACTTTGTTTGTACCTACCCCTTCTTCAAATGACAAAGGGGAATAAAACCTCTCTCTCAGGCCAGGAACATGTTCTGACTTGTCAGCCCATCATGGTATTTGGCACCTTAAGTGGTATTTGCATATTAGTAGTAAGGTTAAAAATGTGCTTCTACCTACCGCTGGTCTACGAGACAGGAAAGGAAATCTGGCAGGGTATTTTTGGCAAAGCTATCCTTGTCCTAAAAAAGTTACATAAAGTGATGTGGATTAAGGCTGCCCCAGGTAGAGAAGCCCAAGGTGGCATGGCCTACATGCCGAACTATATGACCCGGTGGATTTTTATGGTATGAATTAGGGCTGCCCCAGGGACAGAAGCCCAGGGCATCCTCACCTACATGCCGATCTATATGACCGGATTCATATCTAAAGTTATATGACCGCACAATAACCAGACCCCATCTGCACTGAAATCATTTAATGACTTTTTACATCATCTTTTCTTTTTCCAGTAAAAATAAGTCACGTACCCGTGCCTTATAAATTTAGCCCTAACCTTCAACTCAGAGCAGCAGCAGGAGCTCTGACTGCCCATGGGTCCTGTCCCCATGCAGCAGCGACAGCAGCTCTTCACTGCCCATGGGTCCTGTCCCCATGCTGTTCCATACTATTCTCTAAATAAAAGAACACTACTACCAGACCTTGAGAGCCCGAGAAATCTTTCTTTCGACTCCTGGGCTCACCGACCCTGCATCAAAAGGAGATCCCTCTCCTTGTTGTTGGTTTCAGATGTAAAGCCTGGAATATATGACCCCATTCTGCTACTTGCCTGAAGGCACAGCTAATTTGCCACTAGTCTTTATGTTACTTGCAGTACAAGCACCCTCATTTATTTGTGTTAACTCTCCCCTCCTTGTCTGGGAGAATTCCTGTCCAGAGTTCTCCTGCTATGATTAGTGAGATTATATATATGTGTATATAAATATATATATAGCAGATACATGTATCTGAATCATACTTGGGGCCCATGAACAGTATCAAAAAGATGTGCTTTTCCAATTTTGCAATCAGAGTCCCCCGGCAGAAATTTAGAATCGGGAAAATCAAGATGCTCAGCTATGAGATTCAGCTGAAATATCATGTAAATTTGGGGTTAGGAGAGCCAAGATGGACTGCACCTGTTCATTCTAGAGTTATGCAAGATTACATGCTGTGGACAACCAAAAGTGGCCGGCCAGAAGAGGGAGAGAGAAATGGCAGAGCTAATGCACAGGGAGAGAAACACGAGAGAGAGAAAGTCCCTGGCGCACAGCAGGTACTCGACAAATGTGTCGATTTCTAATGTTGAATGTTAGTTGCTTGTACCTTTCTCATAGTCTATTTTATGTCTATTGCAATAGTGAACTCTGAGACCCTAAGACAGCTGTTTCAAAAATTCGATTCCTCCTTTGCCTTAGCAAGTATTTCTAAAGGTAGTCTCCGGATTAGCAGTTTTCTTCTTGATCCTGCTCACATCGTCACGGCCAGTTCAAGCTGAGTGTGGGAGCTGCAGGGCTGCATTTTTGGCCACTCAGGTTCCACTTCAGGGTACACACAAGTGATTAAGGACAGTCATTAGATATTATTTGTTAAAAGTATACTGGAAGAATAGCATAAATAATTTTATTCTCAGAGTATTAAAAAATAGACATCATTAAAGATGAAGTGTCTATATAGGCAATGGGTCTCAAAAATATCCATATGCTGACTAAAGATAGATTATAAGATAGCATCAAACGTAGAAGAAATGGGGTATTTTTGAGAAAGATCAGACTTGTTAAAGATGTAATATCACACTCATTATAAAATAAGTTAAAAACATAAAAATATAAAGTGTAAAAATTCCATCTGATCTTCCAAATTGATGCGTATTTTGGGTTTAAACTACTCCCGTCTGTATAAAACCATTGCCTCTGTCCCTTCCTACATATGCTGCAATAATTCTTTCTTTATATTGCTTTTAAAGGGTACCGGAAGCAAGGACAAATAAAAAAAAAAGTTATAAAAATGGCATGATGATGTCCTTTTAAATTATGTAAACCTCGTTTTATGTAATAGTGTCACTGAACAAATAATCACTTGGTTGAGGAAGATTAGTGGCTGTAATTATTTATTCATTTTAATGTTTGTTATTAAGCCTTCCTTTTGCTATTTATGGCTATTATATGGTGAAAGATCAATACAAAGAAGATGAGAAAGTGCGGAGATGATGGTTAATTATATCAGAAAGGAGAAAGGTAGGCAGATGCCTGGCTTCCTGCTGATAATCCCACTCTTCATCTCATAAATGTTTCTGTAGTTAACATTTTCCTTGGCTTGAAACAATACAGCAAGATAAGCAGCCGTTCCATTCCTTTCCCTGTAGGTCGGGCATCTGTCTTACCACTAGAGTCAGGGTTACGAGGCTGCCTGTACTGTTTCCTGTGCACCCCTCCCCCACCAAAGCATAGAGTGGCACCAGCCTGTAATAGGCACTCTACATATTTGCAGAATGAATAAGAATGAATAATAAATGAACAAGGAGCACATTGGGAGACATCATATCCCATCTAGAAGACTTCAAATTCATATTAGCATTTTAAATGCCCTGAGAAGGCCTGCAGTGAAGAAGCCTGCTTGGTTTGTCTAAATTTGATATCACCAAATGAATTTTTCCATTAGTTTTTGGTTGCACTTCAGGGAAGCATGTTGGGAAATACTTTTGAGAATATTTTTTCCAATTGCAGTTTGATATTATTTTAGCTTCCTAAAGAAATGCCTTATAATTTTTTTGAAAAAAAAATTCTTAGTAAGATGAGTTACAGTCTCAATTGGCATATTTAGGATATCACTGATTGTCTGGTTGGTGGTTCTATAAAACTAGGGCCTTTTCCAATGCTTGAGATATTGCCTTCACTATATATGGTTTCTCCAATCTATTGACACTAGAACCAGTGCTAAGGTACAGCCTTGCTCCTAGGAAAAGGTATACATGGCGGGGGGAGGAGGGGGTGCAGATTTTCAAAGTTTGAAAATATCTTTGGACACACACACACACATACACACACACACACACACACACGACAGAAGAAACTCACCTATCTTCTTTTATGATCACTTGAAACACAACACTTGTATCAATCCTAATGTCAAGAGTGTCTGCTGTGCTCTAGTTTGTTCATGTCACTCTTTTGTCAGTCCCAGTGTTCATTTACTACCAGGTGTCCCTCCCTGAAAACAGGCACCTTACCCATCCTTGCTCTCTATAGCTCCTAATACTTGTTATTTCTGGATATCTGGTTTATGGAGGTGATTTTTATTTTCTTTCGCATGTTTTGTCCTATGCTCCACAATTAACATGCAATGTTTTAAATCATTAAAAACCAAAGGAGTATTTTATCTCTGTATCTATATAATAAATTAAAGCTGTAGATTTAAGGTTACCCACACACCTTATATATGGCATAAAGGAGGACAGCATGACCTGCCTCCCAGAAGGAAAGTGCTATATCGTTTTTTCCCAGTGCTTTACATCCATCCCTCCTGAAGAACCCTGTTTAGAATCCTTAACACCTATAGAAAGAGAAAGTACCTTTGCAAATTTGTTACTCCTTTGACAGACTGGTTGGATCTTCTCAAGTTCTGGGGGGAAGAAAGGTTTTGAAGAACTTTAAAAGCCATATACCAGTAAAAAAAAAAAAAAAAAGATGCCATTTTTTAAAGGATTTAAGTTATTTTAAAATGTCATAACAGGCCTTCTTGGCAGCACTGAGGGCCTAGATGAGGTTTTGTGATCACAAATTTAGAGTGGTCTCAATCTGCTTTGATGTGTGATTTCGATTTTACTCAGCAGCATCATCTGCCTCAGGATTAAGAAAGAGAAGACCCATATATCGTGTGCGAGGTCCAAAGATATCCACCTTGGGAAAAAGCAAAGTAATGTTTCCACTTTAATGATCTGCTCTTAAACAATAGAATTCAAAAAGTCTATTCAATTAGACAACAGAACAAGTAAACCTATCATACTTATTATGCCTGTGATCTTGATGTATCACTTAAAGTTTCTGGACCTCAGTTTCCTACTCTATGTCCTGGGAATAATAGTATCCATCTCATATAATTTTTGTGAGCATTAAATAACAATCTAGTTAAATGTCTTAGTGTAATATCTGTCACATACTAAGCATTCATTATACCACTTTTCTGGGTTTTTCCCCCCTGTGGAAGATTCACCCTGAGCTAACATCTGTTCCAATCCTCCTCTTTTTGTATGTGGGTCGCCACCACAGCATGACCACCAACGAGTGATGTACGTCCACACCTGGCAACCGAACCCAGGCTGCTGAAGTGGAGTGCACCGAGCTTTAACCAATAGGCCACTGGGGTTGGCTCCATTATACTACTTAAAAAAAAAGTTATTTATATACAGATCATTGGTCATTTTATTTTTCAGTGATATTATGAGGATTATCAAGCTAGTTAAACACTAAGAGTTGAGACTGCCAGTCTAAATAATTAGTCAGATCCATGTTCAAAATATTCATGTCATTATAGTAGGAATAAAAATATTAAATTCTGCTTTACTGATTTGTGACATTTGCTTTCTTGCTGGACTCAGTTCAGTCAGTCTTTCAAGTTTCCAATTCTCTTTCACTCTAACTCTACAGCCATATGACTTTGACCTTCCCTTTATTTACCCAATAAGCCCGGCTGCCTAATATAACCCAGTTTTTTTCCAGAGTATGTAGTCATGTCTATTTCTTGTGCTCTGTAATGTATATTTTGATTTAAAAAAATGGGAGTAAACTTCTATCTGGAGTTTTCCCCTTCTATTTTTGGGGAGCGTACCAGAACTTCTCATTGTATAGATGCCTACTCTGATGTAACCTCACCAGATCTCCTTTGCTCCAGGCCCTTTAAGCCTCTTGCTGCTGGAATCCCTTTGTCCAGTGGTCATCTTTTGCATTGGGTACTAGCAAGATGGTTTAAACATGACTACCTTCCATTCATCCACTTTAGCAAAGGGAAACTCCTATAATTTTGCCAAGCCAAATAGGACTAGAGGCTGTTCATTGAGGCTCTCCATTCTGTCCTCTCCAGTTACATTTTTCTCTGTTTAAATAGTTTTCTCTGTTAAATAGTTAAATAGTTTTCTTCTGTTTAAACAGTAGACCCAGCTAACACATATATCCAACGAGGTAAAAAAAAATGGGAAATCTCCTTCCTGCTATGTGCTACTGTAAGTAATTCTCTCTGAACCTTTCAGCATCATACTTAATTTCAGTGGGGTAAATGCGTGCCTTCCCCATTTCTCTTGACTTAAGGTAGAAACAGAAGAATCACTGTACTCTCTTACTTACATCCTAGATAATGCCCATGCCCTCTCTGTTTCACAGGCTGAGGAGGGGAGAGGAGGAATGTGATGTGGATAGCTGACATTTTTCTGCTTCTAAATAGGACCTAGCAAGGTTTCTAACCTCCTGATTCTTACATGATAACGCTGTCAGTCCTCTTGAAGCCTTTTCCCAATTCTAGGGCAATAGGAAAAGTTCCACTCAACATCCTTATAATCACTAAATAAACAAGTAAACATAACATCCTGTATACCAATAAATAGACATATATAAGTATACCTATGCATACATATTTCATTTTTACAGAGGAGAGTTCTCTGTTGAACTCTTAACTATTGAGCTCTCCTTATATCTTTCAAGTATGAAGAGCTAATGAAATCAAAGCCATAGGTTAGTATTTAGCATTTATATAACACTTGTATTTGCAAAGTGCTTTAGAATAATTCCATCCTTAATCCCCGTAATAGCCCTGAGAGGGAGGCCCAGTTATCGTTCCCTTCATAAACGAGGAAACAAGAGACCTGGAAAGGTTGCGTGACATGTTGTGTGGCTGATTGGTGGCAGTCACCGATTAAAGCACAAGGGTCTTGACTGGGAGCAATGTGGTTCATCCTTTGGGCCCTAAAGAATGAGATTTCTTAATAAACCCATGAGTCATGGAGAAGAGGCACAGACTGACTATGATTTTACTAGGCTGTTTCCACTGCATCTCATTGATGGCTTAAATCATCTTAGTGCCGCTGAACCCTTTTCAGCAATAAAATAAAAAGTGTATTAAGTGCTAAATTCTGCCCATAACTGGTATTTCTCATTGACTGAAAGTTTATGGAAGTTGTCAACTTCAGAGACCAACTTATATGAAGGCAATCAAGCCTCTGTAGGTAGATGAATTGATGTAGTCAGAAATGATGAGGATGAAATTAACAAATTTACCAATCCTTTGGAGCTGAGGCTACATTTGCCAGTTTTTATACTCCAGCACCATCTCCCTACGAAACTCCAGAGTTGAAGCATTCATCATTCTCACCTTCAGATACTGTTACCTAGATACCTCCGTTTTAGTTACAAGCTTGAGATCACCATAGCAACCAATTAGTATTTATGTTGCTAAGACAGGATGCAGAGAAAGGGGAAAGCTGGATGTGCTTACTCATTTTTATGCCACCTCAATAGAGAAAGGATAAAATGTTGATTCCAGTTTCCAAATTCCCATTGACTTCTTCCATTCTAATGTATATTCACATTTGTCTTTTCCACGGGTAACCCACTTGATGGTAAAACACTTATGGTATGTACAATAAATTCTGTAATTGTTAATAGTGCCAAAAAGGAGTGCAATAATTACATTTTCTGGCATTCTGGCCTATTGTAGGATCTGGGTTTCAAAATCTAAGGCTTCATCTAACATTTTCTAAAGCATTTCAGCATCAAATTACATACACTTCTCTTGCTCTTTAACAGACTAAGGTCCAAATTTCAGCTCTAATACTAGCCAGCAATGGAGCCTCTGGCAAGTTGCTATCCTCTCTTGCTCAGTGTTTAGAACAAGCACATGAATCTATCCCTAGAGCCAGAGTTAGCGTCTTGGGATCAGTATAGGGTAAGTGCTCATGAAAACTTAGATCTCATTTGACAACTCACTTAAAAACACAGAGTAATTTCAAATAAAAGTATCTTTTATATGTTAGTGTGTGTGTTCTACTTTATTCCCTCGTAAAACCTTAATTCTTGGAAAACTTCCCTTACTGAAGAGAGTGGGAAATGGTATCTAAACCCTCCCCAGTACGGTTAGGTGCAGCATAGACACTAGAGAACTTGCTACAAGACACCGTCAATTGCATGACTGGAGGATATCCAGAAGATCACCAGTCACCAATGGGTTTGGTCCCTCTTTTCCATCTTGTTTACAGGAACAATAGAAAATCCCCTTGAGCAGCACAACTTCTCCCCAGGTTCATCCTGAAACAGTTAAGCACCCTTTGGAATTAATGAAATTGACTAAGAAACTATTACTCTGAAAAGCTAAGTGTCTCTGTAGTTTGGATAAATTGGGTAAAGAATTAAAATTTCCATTCCATCCAATTTGTTGTAGACTGTTTTAGTGTCAAATTAATGGTAACAGCTCTGTTCGTGGAACATATAGGAAATGGAGCAATCTTTTTGGTCTGGTCTGTTTGATTTCAGTCTCTTTTGACAAATCAAGTATTAGTCAAATAAGCTGACAAATTATTTAAATGAAGCTCAGTTCATATCTTTGCTGCTCCAGGCAGAGATTCGCAACAAACCACTGCCTGTGTCACCCACACCAGCACTGTCTCCTCATCAATCATATGCATACATGGCTCTTTCCCCAAAGTCACCACCTCAATTTGACTGTAAACTGAAGCCAGCTCCAGGTTCCATGTCTCCTACAACCACTCTCTGCTCCCATCCGTCTCACTGTCTTTAATATTTTATTATAGATATTGACGAAGGGGGATGTTTGTTACGTGATTGCTAATGTTAAAACAATGGCAGGAATAAAACAAGAAAATAAAACTAAGCTTATTTGAGCTTAACTGATAGAGATGAATAGTCTGTGTTGTTATCTTGCTGGATAATTTCTTTCTCTCTTTTTCTTCCTTATGTAGACAGAGCCTCAAGACTTTTCCATTCAATATATGAACACAGTGATGCACTTTTCGTCCCAGAATAGCCCATTTCAAAGGTGGAATGATGGACAAAGCATAAAACATTTACTTCTATCAATGACTTTATATGAGAAGTTTTTGAAAAGTTTCAAAATTATTTTTCTTAACAATATATTAGACTATTTTAGCTAGAAAGTCAAGATTTTTAAAAGTTAGATTTTTTTGAAGTCTTTTTTTTCTTTTAATATAAAGTAATCATCTATCTTAAATAGTGCACTTTTTATCTAAGGGCCAGGTCATTTGATTCTAGAAAAATTTACTCCCTCTAAATCTCTAGTGGGAAAAATACGACGGAGTTGTGTATTTATAGGAGGATGGAAGGCATTATCTGCCTACGAAAATCTCCTAGGCCTATTATAAAATCAAATCCGGGCAAATTAATGAAATAGAATCAAGTATAATAAATATATCTTTGGTACGTACAATGTGTGCTCCCATGTACTAGATACTGTAAAATACACAGATATGAAATTAACACAATCCCTTCCCTTGGGAAATAATAAATCAGTTGGGAGACGGGACCTAAATAGGTGAACAGTTAAAATGTATTGAGAGATTAAAATACCTATAGAAGTTAAGTTACAAAGCACAATATAACACTAAGACCTAAAGAACAAGACACTATGGGCTTCAAAAAGATACAAGTTCAGAGGTGGGAAAAATCATTTCAGATGGAAAACGTTCAATCCATTCACCCTTTACAAGCATTTCTTAAAATTGTACCATGTAGTCCCTCGGGGAGAACTTTGCGGAAGAGAGAGGATTAGAGCTTGAATTCCTAGAATGTGTACTGCACATGCCACTAGCTTGGAATTTATGATAGAATGCCTTGTACTACTGCTTACATGTTTAGAAGTGTAAATAATACAACAGTGGTGATAATAATAGCTACAGTTAACAAAAGCCAGATATTATGCGAAAGGTTCTATATACATTATGTCATTTAATCTTGCATCAACATTTTGTGGTTAACATTTTTCTTTTTTATGAAGAAGATTTGCCCTGAGCTAACATCTGTTGCCAATCTTCTTCTTTTTGCTTGAGGAAGTTGCCGCTGAGCTAACATCTGTGCCGATCTTCCTCTATTTTATTTGGGATGTCATCGCAGTGTGGCTTGATGAGCTGTGCTAGGTCAGCGCCCTGATCCGAACCTGCAAACCCTGGGCCACTGAAGCAGAGCCTGTGAAGTTAACTACTACACCACTTGGCTGGCCCTCTGTGGTTAATAATTTTAAAACCAGTTTAAGGAGGAGAAATTTTGGCTTAATAAGAAAAAGTAATGGAGTCAATATAACTTGATGGTAGTAGATCCACAAATTCAAAAGGATGTGTGTATTACATCAAAGTCTCTGCTCTTAACCACTGAGCTCTGAAGCTTCCAGCGCTAGATTAGGAATTCTGTGATGGTAGAGTCAAAGCCTCTTGCATCTTGGTAATCATCAGAGCAACTGAGTTTGAATCTGACAATTGTCTTATAATGACTAGCTCTATCATTAGTCCACCCAGAAATAACTGGGACTTTAAGAAACCGTACTTCAAACATATACCATTTAGGTTAGTGATTTCTCAAATTAGAGATGTTCTTTGAGGATACTGAATTAGAGACTACTCTGGCTCTAGAAACTGACAACCTGGGTCCTGACTCTGACTGTAAATAGTCCTAGTTATGAGACTTTGGGGAAGGGATTTACATGCTATGAGCCTCAGATTTTCGTCTGTATAATGGAGAGGATAATAATACCTACCTATTATTTATGTCGTGAGGATTAAATGAGAAGATTTATGTCAGTCACCCAGAACTGTGCCTGACAGATAAGTGATCAAAAATATTAACTGTCATCATCATTCTCTGGCCTTTGGAGACATTCACATTCTTTCTGCTGTGGTGGAATTTAACAGTTGGTCATCATCTGTTCCTCACTAACTTGTCTGCGTAGAAGAAATGTCCTGAAGTGGCACAACAGGGTTTGCTGGAGGACCCAGGAGTGGAAGAGCCAGACATAGAAATGAAACAAAATTTAAAAAACAGTGCTGAACAACACCTCAGAGTGTATACCTGGGGTCAACTCCTACCCTTGATTGGTGAATCTGACGAAATGATTGGAGATGGAAATGGATCGTCTTTTTGCTGAATTTCAAAATAACATTTGAGATTGGAGTTACATACAAAGTTTTCTTGTATGCATTTTAGAAAGGATGTGTTTGCATATGTGTGTGTATATGTGTATGCATGTGTGTTTAGCATTTCCCTTCCTTTCTAGAATCTTAAAACATGGCTTAAAGTCTTTTCTCCCTTTTTGTTTTATTTGTTTTGAATTGTTTTTGAATAATTCTGTGTTACTTAAGAGGAAGTCTGTGTTGGCTTCTGTTTCAGTGGCCTTGTCATTCAATCTGCAGACAGAGACAGTTTTGACATGGAAATCTCCAAATGAAAAATCAGGATCTATTCAGCTTTCCTTATCTCACCAAGACTGTTTTTAACCCACCTCAAAAGTGCAGCTCCCTAAAAGAACTAAAAAAAGTCATCAAACTACTTTGATACTAAATAATCAACCAAAATAACAGATTGAGAAAATTCATCACTTTTTTCAAGCCATAGAAATACAGGTTCATTTCTGTCTAAGTCACCCAATTAACCATATATCTAAATACTCTATTGACTGCCTATTGAATTCATAGCCTTGAACTTTGCTCTGTGAGGTGAAGAGTAGGAAATGAGGAAAGAGGATAACAGTTATTGATCACTTGTGTCAGAAAATTTACTTATGGATAACTGCACCATGGACCATTCTAGAAGAGGGTTAAGATAAGACCATGATAACAGGAATCAATTTTCTCTAGCTCTGCCTCAATGCACAGTCAGAAGAACTTCAAACTTCCTCCCTTAAACTGCACTCCTAGCCACTTTTGAGAATTCCTGATGAGGAACCAATATGTGCTGACATGCCCCGTCTTCTGAGCAAGCACATTTGGCCATCATCCCACTTTCCCGCTCGGGCTCTGGCTATGACCCCTCTGGTCACAGCCTTCTGTCTTGTCAATTTCCACTTCTACTTTTGCCCACCTCTTCACAACAAGACTTCTGATTGTTTTAAGACCTTTATCTCCTCCAGACCTACAGTCTCCCTCTTGTCATTCCTTTCCTCCTGATCTGGTTTATACTCATTAAGCCATCATTCCACCTCTTATCTCCTCATGAACCTCATCTGAGAGGTTGATTTCCATCTTCAGCATCTTCTTTGACTCCTAGATTTCCCTCACACCCTTCATCCAACTGATCAGCCAATCTTATCAACTGTGACTTTAAAAAATATCCATCTCATAATTATTTCC